TAGCCAGATTTGAAGAAGGTAGCTGCAGCATACCTATATGCTTCAACACCTTCCTAGGATTGCGCAATGGGTGCCAATTGCACTAAATCATAATAGCGGCATTTAAAAGCTGAAGGTCCTAGGAACCTTTCTAGGAACCTAGCCTGCACGGTCCTTCTCATCTTTTGATCCCAGGGTTTTATCCTTTGCGGGCAGGGCCAACAATTGAGCTGGCTGGCCTGTCTGCAAAAGTTGCACGAGCCAGAGCTTTCCGTAAGGGGGTCAATGGAGAGTTTCTGCTGCACAGCATTGCAGCAATTCTGAGTCTCTGGCGCTCGACGCTGCTCATGCTACTGGCGCCCCAGCGCTGACTTCAACAGATGCACGGCGTCAAGCTCCCCCGCCTTACCACCACCAGCAGCGGCAACCACTCTAAGCAACCGCACCGGCGGGGCCCCTCTTACTCAAAGCGGCGCGCCCCACTTCGGCGATGGATCCGCCGGCTGGGGGGGTGCACCGTCTGTTGCGCCTCCGTCATTCTTTTTCTGCTGATGTCAGCAGTGGTCTTTCTAGCTGTGAAGAGTTGGCCGGGTGCGGCTGTGAGCTCAGCTTTTGATTTAGGAACCGATGAGAGTCCCGCCAATGTGTGGAGGCGGGGAGGGGAGCGGGGGGGGGAACATGATGCAGAGGAGTGGGGGGGTGGGGAAATCGCAAAAGGGCTGGACCTGGGGGCATACACGGCCATGGTGGGGGGCGATGTCGCTCCTCCAAGTGAGCCGAGCGGTTCAAGTGTTGTTGTCGCCCAGTGTGCTGCTTTATTCGGCACAACGTCCAGCAATCTGGCATTTGTTTTGAGCAGATTGGAGATGACTCTGTTTCCCCTGAAAAGATGATTTTCCAAGAGATGGAGCAGACTGATAGGCTGTGAAGGTTTTTCTAGACAAACTGAGCTCAAAACTGCTCCTTGCATGAAAACCATTGGCCAAGTCTGGCTCATAAAGTAACTTCAGCACACAGAGAATGACTCAAAACGGAGATGCTCGCAATTGCTCATATTTCCATTCTTAGAAGGGTCACTCAAAGCCTAAGCAACTGAGAGGCTTGCGAAATGTCTGGGCCCTGCAGCCTCCATAGCCGACTTGGGCCTCCCAGTCCCCCTGCGCATCTATGTATACGAGCTTCCCCCTTCATTCAATGTGGACTTCCTGCGCAACCCCAGATGCGCCAGCCACCTGTTTGCTGCTGAGGTACGCACTGTTATATTGGTCGAGTAAGCTTTTCCTGTGCGTGAAGCAAACTGAAGGTCGAATTTGGCTGATGTTTCCCAACCAGATCTGTCGCTTGTAGTCGCATACAAACCTGACTTACGCTCCTTGGAGGTGTGACCAGCTCTTGTTTTTAAGAGCGCCTCCTATATTGGCACACTCTAGAAGGTGATCCAGCTTCCTCATTTGCACCAACGATAGAGGTGCTGCCCTACCGGTGAGTGCAAATAGGCAGACGTGTCCTACTTTGTATTAAGTAAAGCGAGGACCAGTGTCTTCATTGTTCCTTTGCACTCAGGCACTTTATTCAAACACATCCTGAGCGGAGAGCTAGTGATAGGAGCACAAGTTGGTTCATGAACCGGTGCTCAGGTAGAGGTTTCACTGCTTGATCATATTGAACCTGCGGGTTCCAGGATCCAATATTTGCCTCCTCAGGGTATTGAGAAGTAACCCAGATGTGGCTCCCGACCCCTGAGATCCCTTGAAAAACATCGTTTGGGTACAAGTATCAGAGTTCGATGTGTAGACTGCCCTAGCTAGCCAGTTCTTCATGTTCTGTCTTCGTTGATCAACAATTACCCACTTTCTCAAGCTGAACCTTTCTGCAGGTCGCCATTCACCGGGCACTGCTGCAAAGCCCCGTCCGCACCCTCCAGCCCGCCGAGGCCGACTTCTTCTTTGTCCCCGTTTACACCGCCTGCAACTTCAACACCGAAAACGGGTTCCCGAACCTGTCTGGGGCCCCGGAACAATTGCGCACCGCTGTCGAGCTTCTCGCGGCCGAGTACCAGTACTGGAACCGCACGAACGGACGGGACCACGTGTTTGTGGCCACGCACGATTTTGGGGCGTGCTTTCACGCCATGGTGAGGTCCGCCGTCGTCCTCTTATTGTGTATTACTCTGAGAATTTGCCGTCGGAAAACGGCTTGAGACCCATCAGCCCGGCCCTCCGGCTGAACTCAGGCTGTAGGACGCCTCGATCGGGTTGCATGGAACCTGATGCCCCTCGGGTCGGGCACATTGCGACCCGACCCGAATTTTGCCCGAGATCCCGACCGATGTTGGCACCTCCGGCAGCTGCTAAATTTGGGCAGTGTAACCAATATGGCATGCCGATCGGGCTTGAGTCGTCTCGCTTGGACGCTTTCCACGCTCAAGTGTGACAACCCTATCAGCCTCCACTTGCTCTATCCTTACTTTCTTTCCTGCATGAACGTTTTTGTTCGTTCTGCTCTCCTGGTCAAGCTTCGTCTGTGTAGCTTTTTGTCTTTTTCATCACTGCAAGTTCTTCCTTTCTCGCTGAGTTGTCGAGCTTTCCAACTGTCCGCAGCTGGTCGTTCCAGCAAGTGAGAGGAATCGATTCGTTGACCAACGCAGGACTTCTCGTAGCAACGCTGGATCTGAGATCAATGAACCATCAATTGCTGGTCATCAAAGAGTTGCTGTGTTGGCGCTAGCCATCCGCCTTCTGCAATCTGTGAAGTTCCACAAGCTTGTTGCTCGGCTGCAAGGGGCTTTACCGGAGCCTTGTTGGAGCTTAACGAGAACTGAATCGAAGCTTAAGAGAGCTTGATCAGATTGCAAGTAGACCGTTCGCACCCCCCTCTGCAGGAAAAGGCAGCCGTCCAGGCGGGGGTCCCTCAATTCCTCAGAAACAGCATCATTCTGCAGACGTTCGGCCAGACGAACAACCACCCGTGTCAGGTATGCAGACAAAGCCTTACCTCGTCGTTTCTTCTTGCTTCTGAGAACATCTCTTGTTCGGCTTTGGCAAGTGGATCAAAGTAAAGGTGGTCAGAGGGTTCGCAGGCGTTAAGCTTACCGTCGTCCTTGATCCTGCTCGAGCGTTTGGCGTTTCTCTCGGCCATGTTTTCAAGACAATCTCCTGAGGCCAATCCGTCAAATCTGGTTTGAGAAAGTTCTGTGCAGATTGCATCCAACTCATCCAAGCTACCTCCTCCAACTCAGGACATCATTGAAACATCCAAGATTTTGCAGGACGTCGACCACATCCAGATCCCTCCTTACGTCCCCTCGCCCCTCGTTCTCGCCAACTGGCAGCCCCCCGAATCGCAGAACCGGACGATATTCGCGTACATGAGCGGCAAAATCGAGGTGCATCCGAAAGAGAGCGTGTCCGGTGACGTGTACGGACGCGCGGTTCGGACCGGGATCTGGAAGCGGTTCCACCGGGATAAGCGGTTTCTCATACGAAGGAAGCGGCCGGAGGCGTATTACGAGGAGATGCTGCACGCGCGCTTCTGCTTATGCCCCAGGGGGTGGGTTATATTTTGTTTAGGCGCTCTGCCTTGCGGAAGTTTTAGCGCTTGTTTCCTGATTATCGCTCATTTTTGTCATTCCTGGAAGAGCGACACTCGATGGAAGACGTCGTTTCCGACACTGGACCTTGGGAAGTTGATAGAAGACTCCCAAAGTCTTTCACGCGGGCTATTTGAAGGGACGGAGTTGCGTGCATCTTGTATGCTGGCCAATATCCTGTAGTACTGGATTTTTACTTTACTCGTTTGCGGAGCCGAGTGGCGCTAACACGCACCTGAGCGGACAACTCCACTTCCATAAGAAAGTCAAGGATTGTTACATTTTGTGTTTTCGGACTGATCGTGTTTGTTCGTGCTCGCAGGTGGGCCCCTTGGAGCCCCCGGATCGTGGAGAGCGTCCTCTTCGGATGCATCCCGGTGATCATCGCCGACCACATCAAGCTGCCGTTTGACGACTTGCTCAACTGGCCGGCCATGGGACTGATTCTGCAAGAGAATGAGGTTCCGAATCTAGCGACTATTCTCGAAAGTCTGTCGGAGGATAGAGTTGCGTCTATGCAGCGTGAGTTGTGGCGGGCTGAGGTGAGGCGGACGCTGCTGTTTCTGGAACCTTCGGTCAGGGGGGATGCCACGTGGCAGATACTAGACGCTTTAGCAAAGAAAAAGATGGAGAGAGACAAATTGCAATAAGGTGCACATGAGTCCTCATGCCGGTTGCCAAGCATACATCTGATGCAGACGCAGCTATTGTCCGCATTCAGCATGCATGCCTCTGATTGCATGCGTCATGCTCGCAATACCATGGCCAGTCATGTTCATGCCATGCATGATGTTTCCGTGCAAAAGAGCGCTTAAGATTGTGCGTGCCCCTGCGTGTCTAAGTCGGACCGTGCGTGCGGATTGCTCTCTTACATCAACGCATATGTGCAAGTAAGAAGATAGATTTCAGGTGCACGCTAGCTTCCTCGAGAGTCATAAGAATTGATGATGTTGACAAAAAGCTGCATGCGCCGGACAGCTTCCTAGCACCTGTGTCTAAAACACCGGCCTGGGTTGACACGCAGTTTGGACTACCACTGCATTCTGTGCTACTAAATTACAAACCCAGTACATTTTGCGTGCTCTGCTGTATGAAATAGGGGGCAACAACGGCCTGTCTCTGCAGGAATCGACCGTCCATGGCAATCGTTATGCGTATCTCTCTGGGCATACGCCCTGTTCATAGAAAAGACACCTGTCAACTGGAGAGTAGGTACCTTCCCAAGCAACAACTGCCTGTAAAAGCGACGCTCCACAGCAAAACGGTCTCCTATTCTTCGGTTTCAAGATAGTCAAATTCTTCCGGGATGCCGATCTGCAAGAAAGCGACGCCGATTCAGTCGTTCGAGTCAACTGATCTTCAGGATCTTCAAGTCCAAGTGATAAATTTAGCCTTCCTCCGTCCGCAGAACGTGAAAGACACCGCAGTACAGGACGACACGAGAATTCGAGGAGGTGCGCGGTCTGTTTGATGATCGGTGCTTCGGTTGGGAACAGAGAGAGACACCGGTGTCTTCGTTGACAGTATCAGCGTCACACAATCGAGACAACCAATCAGCGAGTATCAAACATGTGCTCAGCTTATCGACTTACCTCTTTGTACAGGCCGGCCAGCGCCTCCCTCATATGTTCGAAGTTGTTCGCGCACCAGCTTTGTAAGGAGAAGATGTTATCTGCAAAGCAGCACAAAAGAATCTTGCCAAAGAAAGCGGCTTGCTTTTCTGGACTGCCCGCATCCGTTCCTGAAGAAATCCGTGCAACATCAAGCAGAGAGCCTCTCCTTCTCTGAATCCCAGCGTAAATTCGTTTTGGTTCTGAAATCTGGAACCATGAGATAAATATCGTTGTACTGAACATGTTCGTCGTAGGGAAAGCCTGGACGTTTAGAAAGTTTGCCTGAGGTTCCCTATTGGTGCCTATCTTTGTCCAGGCGATGGCCACGTTGAAGATGTGACTCGGTCTGCTTTTATTTGGATCCTTTGGTTGGATTCGTTCCTATTCTCTTCGTTCTCCCATTCTCCTTTTATCTCCTTTTCACGCGAAATCAAGATTCCTCATGTTTTTTATTAAACCCACCTGTCCAACGGTTGGCAGCATCCCGCATCACTTTCGAGGCGCTTTCTGCACAAACGGCTGCGTGAGTGCTGAGAAAGAAATGCCGAACGAAAGTCACAAAACGCAGCAGCAACAGCAGCCCGGAACAATTCCGCGTCTCTGCTGCCTCTGGAATAGGATTCATGGAGAGGAGCACAACCAGGTTCGACGTCTCTGTGGTATGGTAAGAGGGAGCACGGAAAATTGCCAAGGGTTCCCTTACTCATTGCCTCCAATGCTGCTGGATCATTATCTGCAAACCGGGCAAGTTCGTCCTGCACAAAAAACGGGGCGGTTTCGAACTGGTCAGAACAACAATCGACACAAAACCGTAGGTGCATCAGAGAGCTTTTATCACAGGGACTACTAAGGTCTTCGACATCATTCTTCTTCGGCACACCTCAGATCAGTTAAGTCTAGACCAACAGCTTGCATGTAGCATACAGTACCACTCGACGACCCACCTTCAGAGCTTTGCTTTTGGCCTCTGCTTCCTTGAGCTGCTTCAATGCTTGCTCCCGTCCACTCTGCAGAGTGAAGATACAACTGTTCAGTGAGAGTTCCAGATGCGAAGATCATTTCTGGCTTCGTCGAACGCAACTCGCATGAGGCCTGCTTGCAACTTACAAGATTCCTGCTTGCGAAGTACCAGCAGAGGAGCTTTTAGGACAAGGAACGAGAAGAGTCACTGTGCAAAACAAAAGCAAGAGCTTGGATAGTCAACTCAAGCAGCATTCTAAAGGATGCCTCACTGAGTTTTCTCGGCCTCTGGTGCTTTCTTCCTTCCTGGTTTCCAATTCGAGTCGTCTCTTCTTGGCTCTCTCTAGCTTGGATTCGAGGGCACTTCGTGTTTGACTCAGCTGCACAAAAGGTGGACATAAATAAGAATCTGTAAGTCCGTCCGCATTATTCAGTTGAGCATATCCAAATTATAGATGGGAAGAAGAAACAGTCTGAATTGAAAGCTTTTTAGATTCTCGACTTAAAGGCAGCACTGGAAGAGGTTTTGAAGACCCTGTGGTAGTTTTAAGATGATAAAATTCAATCAGAAACATTATTGGACGATTCATGCACAATGCACTCTTCATTGTCCTTCCAACGGCTGTCTTTTGCACCCCTGATTCGTCCCAACAGACGTCTACTCGAGAAATGAGACTGAATTTGCTACCACCAGGCTACGACGAGACCGTATTGAGTGGCATCTTTCCGAATCCAAATGTCCCCACCCATCCTTGGATCATGACGGGAGCAGCAGAAATATGCCATGGACTTGAGTTCACAAAGTCTTCTGAAGGTCCTTATTTCGACGCAGATTGATCAGGAGAGTCCTGAATTACCTGATTCACAGCTCGAGAAGGAAGGCTCCAAAAGTAGACAGATGTTCCGATCTTGTCCTACAAGGGATGCGGCAATTTGCGTCAGCAAGCAGCTCGTCCAAGGGTGGTTGGACACCGCACTCGGCTGCATTCCTTCAAACATGCCATTGGTTCCAAAACTCGTTCAGCCAAACTGATTTCTGGTGCTGATTGCGGATCCATGACATCCGCTACATTTCCGTCATTGCAGCACTTTGTCTTGCTCCTGACAACCTCCAACAAATTATAGGGGCTCACCTTGAAAACGAGGTCATCATCAACCAGACTTTGCAAAACCTGTGCCACAACAAGGTCATGGCGCTGATTGTCAATCGGTGAAACAATCAATTGCAGATTGCAGTGTGATTCTTGTCTTCAGAAACTGCATTTCTCAAGTCCTCAAAAGTGCAGAATTGAGCACGAAGCAGGAACTTCACTTTGACATACAATTCCAATGTAACAGCGGGGCAGAGATTGAAGGACTCCAACTTTCGATGAAACTCACAAATTTGTCATAATCTCAAAGTCATGAACGTATCAAGCATAAGCATAATGGGGAGCAATTCGATGTTCAGGTAATGACACTCACGTCTTTTATGCTCTGACTGATTACGCCCTTCGTTGGTCCCTGCTTTTCAAGCTCTTTCAGGAGAAAGAAGTCCTGAGAGTCATAGAAGATCTGAAGCATTGCAGTTCGCTTTTCTTCCAATGACATGCCTCGCTTCTTTGACATGTTGCCAGCACCTGGTATATGGAAAAAGTCTTCGAATTATCTAATCCAAGCCAAGCTCCCAGAGATGCTTTCTTGTCTCCTTATCAGACCTGGTGACTCTCACTGTCAGTCTGTAAAAGTTTAAATCTCTTCCAAGCACAATGTGCAGCAGGCCGAAAAACTCAGCTGCAACTACTACGTTCGTCTTTGTGAAGACAGGTGAACAGGAGCAGGATTGTTTCAGATTTTATGATACATTGACTACTTCCCCGTCCGGATTGGATCACTCTATGTTGCTACACCAGCTGCATCTTCCAAGCTGGCGGAAGAAAAGTGGAGCTTTCCTACTTAGGCCGACAGCTCTGTTAAAGCTCTGCTTCCTTTCCAGGATACTTATAGGTAGACCGACACACATGAAGGGTTACTGCACAGCCACTCGTCTTCTTGCTGGACCAGCTCAGCTAGAACTGGAAGAAGCTCAGCATCTCAATTCTTACACTATACTGAGGTCTGAAAGTTTGATGTATGATTATCTAGACCTGGGTGGATCTTTTTCTCTGCTGATTGCTTTTTCCAATTGCTTCCTCCCGAGTCCTGATAGTATTATACCTAGTGATTGCTTCCTCCTCTTTGCTGAATTCTGATCAAACTTTTGCACTGACCTTCTGAAGCTGCTCTCTACGTGAGCTCCGACTCTGAAAATGCCCGGGAAATTTGAATCTTGCAAGGTCAACCCCCAGAACCGGTAGAAAGACGTTTGCCGTCCGGTTCACTGTCGGAAAATCTCCTGTATAGACTGAAGTCTGCAGAGCAACTCGGTAAAGCGCCGGCGGTGATAACGCCTCAGTCGGTCAAGCGCACCTAACCCCTACCGGCCCAAGCCGGGCCCGTGCTGAAGCTGGCTTTTAACACTAGGACCGTAGCTAAGTGTGACCATATGGTAACGCTTATCTTTTTCAGATGTTACGGAAAAACCCTATGAAGATACTGGATATAACTGCTCACATTACT